TATATATATATATATAAAATTCTAATGCCTATATGTTCAAGAATTCAAGTTATCTTGACGATAAAGTGCCATAACGTATCAAAGAATAACCTGATGCATATCGTATGCACCCAAAAAATATCGATAGATCCAGACGATTCCGTTGATTACTTTTCTTTTTAATACTTTTTTTTTTCGATGATTTCAAAGCTGTCGTTTCAATAATCCACGCGTAATGAATTTCTTTAAACTATATCACATCACTGTACCGAGTCCGATTACAAACAAAACACTGATGGATCACGATCGATTCGCGGATAAAAACATAAACACGACGCAAAACGCTGCGCATCCCGACGCCAACTGAGCGCGAATGCGCAAAGCGCGATCAGCACTCACTCGGCTTAAGCCGTTACGGGGCCCGAGTGACGCTCTGTCCTATTGGTCGACGACCCGAGATCTCGTGTTCCCGCCGCCATTCGGTTGCAGGTGCAGCGAGTGCACGGGATCACGACTTGTGGCCCAATAGAAAGGAGATTTGGCTGCAGGTGCAGCGAGTCCGCTGTCCGAGGGATCGTCCATACTATGCAAAACGCGCATTTTTCAAACAAAATTCCTCTTTTTAGCTGTATTTAATTGCTATTAACATATTTATTTTCAATGTATTGACATTCTATACTTTTAGAATTTGTAGATTTTTGTGAGATACTCGATATTTTTTCATTAGAAGTAAAATACTTCAAAATATTCTAATTATAAATATTTAAATCAATAACTTCTGCATGTTATTTATTATTGAATTTTTAAAAATAAAATGTGCAAAATTGTATTAGAAAACAAAACTCCTCTTTTTAGCTGTATTTAATTGCTATTAACATATTTATTTTCAATGTATTGACATTCTATACTTTTAGAATTTGTAGATTTTTGTGAGATACTCGATATTTTTTCATTAGAAGTAAAATACTTCAAAATATTCTAATTATAAATATTTAAATCAATAACTTCTGCATGTTATTTATTATTGAATTTTTAAAAATAAAATGTGCAAAATTGTATTAGAAAACAAAACTCCTCTTTTTAGCTGTATTTAATTGCTATTAACATATTTATTTTCAATGTATTGACATTCTATACTTTTAGAATTTGTAGATTTTTGTGAGATACTCGATATTTTTTCATTAGAAGTAAAATACTTCAAAATTATAATTCTAATTATAAATATTTAAATCAATAACTTCTGCATATTATTTGTTATTGAATTTTTAAAAATAAAATGTGTAAAATTATATTAGAAAATTAAAAATATCTTTAGAATAAATAAATTAAGAATATCTTTAGAAGATAAATTAATAAATAGAGAACTTCTGTAATTAAAAAAAATTTTCTTCTTAATGTAAAATTAAAATTTTCTAATTTTAATATTAAATATGTAATATATATGTATAATTTAGTGTAAAGCGAATGCAAAAGTTAGTGATTTTGTATCGGACACGTTGCCATGGATCATCGCAATAGGTTCCGGACAGATTCAAAGCTATTAGAGACTGCTAGCTCATGGGTCTAGTAATTGTTGATTAATTACGACCAATCATCTGCACCAATTTGCTCTGTTTCCACGCTGCTAACTGTATCAAGCCCTGCTCGCGACCGTGACAGATCTGAACGCGTTAATTAGTCACTATCTGCAATTACAGTTATATAGCTCTGTGCTAATCGGCGCACCATCGTTGTGAAAACAAACAATTGCAATAAGTAAGGAATATAAAACAAATTTAGACCGATGAGACTAAAGCTAATTAAATGAGAGAAATTCTATATGTTCGAAGCAGATCTTAATACTTAAATACAGTATTACAGTATTACATACACTTCTTGTGTGAATTTAATAATTTATACGGACTCTGCATATCGTGCATCGAAATCTTTTTCGGTCTTAAAATTCATAAACAGAATCAGAATAGTAATATTATTTATTAAATTTGTATAAACAATTTTATAATTTTGTTATGCTAATAAGAGCAACATTTACAAGAATATTAATCGTTATATGTTAACAAAAATCTAAAAAAATCGATTAATTTATTGCGGAAAATATCATTTCGGCCAAGTTTTAAATAAATAAGCAATAAGTTTTAATGGCGTATTCATATTCATGAATATGTGAAATTCGAATAACACACAAGTTAAATTGCACGTGTTTAAATTCGTAAAGTGCCATGTACTTACATTTGTAGAAAGTTGACTGGTTAACGAATGCACCTTCTCCTGTGCGTCCAGTAATTCACGACGCAATTTTCTCAATTCATGCGCTTGCTTCTCCTCAGCCGAACTATAAAGACTGCTCGTGGTGGACACCAAGGATACCGAAGAACCATGAACTAAAACAAACACAAAATTCTTCTTAATGTATGTTTATTAATTCCAAGTTTAATTCTAGGATTAATTTTCAAGGAAATTTTTTTAACTTGAGTTTCAGATTTTGGAAACTAAATTAATTATATATACACTCTTACGTGTAGTATATTTATGTAAACATATGTGTGTTATAAGTAATTTAGATTATTCTAAATTTCTATTTTATACGATATATAAAAATTAATGAGTTGTTTCGAGTTGTTTGTATAATTTTATCTCTTTTTTCTCTTAATTGTTATATGTATATTATTTCTTCTCTTTTTTTTGTACTCTATACTAAAAATATGTTAATTATAATCCACTTTGAGATTATCTATTTTGCATAATATTAAAAAAGATGCAATGCAATATTGATTAACTTTATTTTTGTAAAAAGTTCAAAATTACAAAAGTTACGTTAAAATTGATATCTTTAGATGTTTAAGAAAATGTTGTACTACATTCTGTACTTTATGATGCACGCACTTACTGTCGTCATCCTTATGTACGTGCTGATATAAGTTAGGCGGCTGCCGTGAGGTGTGCGTGGGCGTCGGCGACGTTGGCTGGGACCAATGTTGGCCGGTGCATCCCGCCGATCCCACAGGAACGCTGTAATATGGCTCGACTCCAACTCCTATACCTATCCCGACCTCCTCACCCACCGACGATGAGGCACCGCTTCCGCGTGCCAACATTGACGGGTACATCTTCTCGCTCTTAGTGGACCTATGAAGACACAAGCGCGGCATGTCCTTTAAATTCCTCTCAAGACATCTCCAAACAACTGTTCAAACTAGACCGAAAGGATCATCTTTCGGCTTGAAATATTTTATTGATACCGCGTGACACAGTTAATCAATATATAAAGTAAAAGTAAAAATATATATGATAGAAAAACATAATTATCGTAGACTTTTTATAGAATAATATTACAAAGAATATTGTATATTTTTAAATTTTACAATAGTCTATTCTTGTAGATCTATTTTTTTTACTACTATATATTTTGTCAAACAAGCATGTTCTCGTTTTTTAAAATAATATTTTTATTCCTTTTTTTTATTTAGATTCAATTTATTTATTTAGATTCAAATTTTCGTATTTCAAATTTTTTTAAAAATACATCAATAGAACTGATTGTTAAAATATAGAATTGAAATATAATTTAGAATATTATTCAAATTACAAGTAAATTATTTTTTTACAGTTGGAAAGCGATATTTATGTTACAGAAAATTTATTCTCGACTTGAGAAAGGGTCAAGAGTACCAGTCGTGTGTGAACTAACAGAAGAGGATTTCGAGTATCTTGGATTGTCGATAATGAGAACATGCTTGTTTATTTGCCGAGTGTGCGCGTAATTAGCCAATCCTGGAAGAGAGCTCTAATTAAAAAATAAGCTTGCTAGCACTCAATAAGAAGTCAAGAGCCACTTCGAGACAGTTTACAGAATTGCGTACACTCGATTCCGCGGGAATCGAATGAGAGCTATCGATCCGTGTCGTTTCGGTTTAAATTCATTATCATTGTCAATAGTTTTTATTTCAATATTGTTTGTTTAATCAAATAAATAGGATTATCTTCCAAGAGTTATGTAATATTCCTACAACGATGACAAGAGTAAGAGAAATGAATATGTAACGGATAACATAGCTCCTGATCGGCCCGGAATATTGATGAAGCATCACTGCGCATGCATACTGCACAAGCAACACTATCGAACGATGAACTTTAGCAACAATAGGCAACTTAGAATTTGCCGCACGAATAACTGTCAATACATTTCGAAAACGCGTAGAACAGATTTGGTGAATTATATTTGCGTGGTTGCGTGAGTCCTGCAATCCTTAGAAAACATAAAATCTGAGTATTCGAACATTTCTAAAAATTAAGAATTCAAATATTTTAAAATATATAAGATTCTCTTGATTCTACAGACTTTAAATAATTTTATTAAATCTATGACTCTAGATTTCTCGAATTTAGATTTTAGATCCAAAAATCTTAAAGATCCAAAGGGTCCAAAGATTATAGAATCCATAATTTTTAATTTTAAATATTTTAGGATTTATATGTTCCATATATTTTTAAAATTTAAAGATTCTAGAAATCAAAAATCGAAAACTTTTACTATTTATAATTTTTAATTTCAGAAATAAAACTTTTTTTCTATTTTTTTAAATTAAAAAAATTTTTTTAAATTTTGAATAGTCAGTCTAGTTTCTAAAATATCTATAATGACAATTGCGAAGGCCCTTCGAATCCACGAATTTGATTAAAATCGAACTTTTTAGGTAAATCTTTTCAGTGCTTGTGAAAGCAATTCTTAAGTGTGTATGTGTATGTGTATATTGGACCTGTTCATATTTTTTTTTTTAATACTTATGCGTAGAAAATAGGCTTGTTGAGTATATTTTCGCACTACCTTGGGAATGTCCTGTCCCGTAGATAACTAAAAACGTTTAATCAAATTATCCTGCGTTATTTTACATCAGATCGATTAATCAAAGAATAAACAAGAGAAAAAAATAAGTGGAAAAAGAAAAAACTATTCATTGTTCGAGAGAATAAATGCTGAAGAAATTCTGAAAATGTTGCAACTATGCATTTGTGATTCCCAAACTCCTCGAACAATCGATCTTTATTTTAAATTTTATAAAAACATTCTGCAGTTATATATTTAAAAAATATTAACTAAATTAGAAATGTAATATAATGTAATTTAACATGCGTTATTTAATTTTAATTTTTCGATAAAACATTTTTTATTGGAAATATAAATATTTTTTAAATTTTAGATTTAGATATTATGATGGAATTCTTTCATATTTATAATACAATGTAATACAAAAATATTAATATTATGAAAATAAAATATTATATCAATAGTTCGAAGATCTTTCGAGGCTAGATACAATTCAGAAAATGGAAACCAATGAACATGATATAACATGCTGCGAATTTTTTACCTGATAGAGTTGCTTCTATTCAATCTGGGTGGCGCCGGGGATCCTGTAGAATCTCTCTGATGCATTAGGAGACGGGCATGTGTCAAGCTCGCACGATGCGAGCCCAATGATTCCACGCTATCTGCTTCGCACAAACCCATTCCTAAAAGATCGTTGTAGTTTCAAAATAAAGATAAAAAATA